CAGGTAGAGTTCGAGGCCAGCCTGGTCTACAGAGCAAGTTCCAGGACAGCCAGTGCTACACAGAGAAACCCTAATAAGTAAAATGAACTGCTTCCCAAACATGCATGAAGCCTGGGCTTGATTCACAGTACTACATAAACCAGGCTTGGCTGTGCACACCTGTAATCCCAAGAGTGGGAGGTAGAGGCAGGAAAATCAGAAACTCAAGGTCATCCTAGACCACAGAGAGAGCCTGAAGCCTGTCTGGGGCACAGGAGACCCTCTTTAATAATAGGTCTAAATTATTCCAGCCAGGCATGGTGGTTTGCACCTTGAATCCCACCCAGCAGGCCAGCCTGTTTTATACAGTGAGCTCCAGGACAGCCAGGGTTACGTAGTAAGACCTTGTTCAACCCCTCCCTGCCAAAAAAACAAAAAACAAATAAAATATCCCAAATACCTATCTATAGCACTTGGAAAGATGTACTCATTTCATGTGTGTGAATGTTTTATCTGCATGTATGTACATGTACATTTGTGCCTGGTGCCCAAAAGTCCAAAGAAGGTACCCGATCCCTTGGAATTTCAGCTGCAGATGGTTGTGAGCCACCATGTGGGTGCTGGGAATCAAACCTTGGTACTCTGTGAGAATAGCCAGTGATCTCAACCTCTGAGCCGTCTCTTTAGTTTACCCCATTTTCATTTTTTTTTTTTAAGAGCAGTTTGATTACAGGGCCAGAGGTCAGTGGGCTGGGCAGTAACTAGAATATTATTTGCAGCATAAGGAAACGTGTTCTATTGCTGTCATTTTGTTCTCATTGTATAGCCCAGGCTGGTCTGGAAATCACATGGGTCCTTCTGCCTCAGCCTTCTCAGTGCTGGAGATTACAGATGTGTGGCACAACCACAATGCCCAGGTGATGGTTTGAATGAGAATGGCCCCTATGGTCCCAGTTGGTAGAACTGTTTGGGAAGGATTGGGAGGTGTGACCTTGTTGAGGAGGTGTGTCACTGGGGGCAGGTGTTGCAACTTATGCCATCCTTAGTATGTCGCCCTCCTCGTCCTACTTCCAAATCAGTGCGAGTGCTCAGCTGTTCTGTCTGTCATGCATGTGCTCCGCCATCATGGATTCTAATCCAGTGGTGTTTCCCCAGCATGTGTGAGGCAGCCAAGGTTCAGGCCCCAGGACTGGTCAGGGGAGGAGAGATTACAGGCAGCCTGGCTCTGCTGGGCTCTGGTTGCTGCCCATTTTGACTGAACTTGTGCCAAGCCAGGAAATCACGACAGACACCTTCCCACTGCCAGCTTTGTGTCTTCTTTGTCTGCCTTCGCCATTGGGCTTGACGGTGCCCATGTACCACGTTCATATAGAATCTCACCAACCCCCATCTTGAAAACAAAGAGACAGACTCAGAGAAGCCCCAGGCATGAATGAGTCAGGATGCCCTGTGCAGGCAACCATGACGTTTGCGCATTCGTGTGTTCTAATCCATTACCAAATTCTGTTAAATATTAGCCCCTAACTAATTCTTCAGTATGTTCATTTCTTTTTAAAATAGGCTTTTCTTGCTCTTGTTGTTGGGTTTTTGTTGTTGTTGTTTGTTTGTTTTGTTTTCTGAGACAGGATTTTTAAGCCTTGTCTATCCTGGAACTCAGGCTGTAGACAAGGCTGGCCTCAAACTCACAAAGATCCACCTGCCTCTGCCTCCCAAGTGCTTGGATCAAAGGTGTGTGCCATAACCACCCACTAGTCTTTCACACTGGTAGTCCAAGCTGGTCCAGAGCTCACTATGCGCTCAGGCTAGCCTTAAGCACATAGCAATCCTCCTGCCTCATTTTCCCAAGTGCTGAGATTATAGGTGTTAGCCACCATACCTGGCTTTAAAACAAAGAAAGAAAAACCAAAAACCAAGATCTTGCCGTGTAGCACAAGTTGCATTTGGATTCACTGTCCTCCTGCCCCCACTTCCTGGGTTCCGGGACTACCCACCTGTGCTACTGTACCCAGCACTGGCTTTTTTTCTAAACCTGTTTCTCACAAGTCAACATAAAATAGTGGAAATTCATACACTGAGCAGAGAAACTGAACATTATTAAGGCAACCACTATAAGACCTAAAAGGAAGTTTATAAAAAATTCAGGGACTAGGGATGTAGCTCAGTTGGTGGAGTGCCGAATGCGCAAGAAGATCTGGGCTGCATTAACTCGTGGGATCCTAACATTTAAGCTGGGAAGGCAGGCGGACTAGAAGTTCAAGATGGGGCTGGAGAAATGGCTCAGTGTTGAGAACACCTACCACTCTTGCAGAGGACCAGAATTCAGTTTCCGACACCCATGTGGGGTTGGGTGCTGGTTAGTTTTTTGTCAACACTAACTAGGGTCATTTGGAAAGAGGGTAACCCCATTAAGCAAATGCCTCCATGAGAATGGCCTGAGGCAAGCTTGTGGGGTGTTTTTTTGTTTGTTTGTTTGTTTTTGTTTTGTTTTTTGACTGATGGTTTGTGGGGGAGTGGCCAGCTCACTGTGGGTGGCACCACCCAGGTTCTGTATAGAAACAGGCTGAGCAGGCCGACAAGCAGTACTCCTTCATGGATTCTGTATCAGCTTCTGCCTCTGTGTTTCTAGCCTGACTTCTCTTCCCAGTGTAGCTGTAGGTAAAACAAACCCTTTCCTCCCCAAGTTGCTTTTGGTGCTGGTGTTTATCACAGAAAATAAAAAGCCAATTATGGAGAGATGGCTCAGAGTTTAAGAGCACTGGCTGTTCTTCTAAAGGTCCTGAGTTCAATTCCCACTAACCACATGGTGGCTCACAACCATCTATAATGAAACCTAGTGCTCTCCTGTGGTGTGCAGGTGTGCATGCAGACAGAACATTGTATACATAATAAATAATATATATATATATATTAAAGAAAAAAGTGAATTAAATATAATTTTTTGTTATTTAAAAAGGGAGAGAGAGAAAGAAAAGAAAAAATAAGAAATGAAATTAAGACTAACAACTCAGCTGGGCGGTGGTAGCACACGCCTTTAGTCCCAGTATTCGGGAGGCAGAGGCAGGAGGATCTCTGTGAGTTTGAGGTCAGTCTGGTCTACAGAGTGAGTTCCAGGACAGCCAGGGCTACACAGGGAAACCTGTCTTGAAACAACAACAATAATAAAACAAAGGGAAAAAACAACAAAAAGACAGGCAGCTCACAACTGCCTAGAATGACCACTCCAGGGGACCTGATCCCTTTTCTAGACTCTGCCGTCACCTGTATTCATGTGCATATATCCACACACATACATCTATGTAAAAATAAATATTTTTTCGAAACGGTTTCTCTGTATAGCCTTGGGTGTTCTGGACTCACTTTGTAGACCTGGCTGGCCTCAAACTCACAGAGATTGGCCTGCCTCTGTCTTCCCAGGTGCTGGGGTTACAGGCGTGTGCCACTATGCAGCAAGTTTGAAGCCAACCTGGGATACATGACACCTGGAGAGAGAAGGGGGAGGAAGGCAGGCAAAGAAAAGAAAAAATTAGGGCTGGCAAGATGGTTCGGTGTATAAAAGTGTATAAAAGTGTATAAAAGTGATGACCCGAGTTCAGTCCTTGGGTCCCCTGAAAAAGCTGTCCCCAGCATCTGTAACCCCAGAACTCATATCAGTGACTTGGAGATAGAGACAGGAGAATTACCTAGATCACAGATGAGCTGGCTAGGAGTACATAGTGCCACAGAAACAGCAGAAAGAGGTGGGGTGGGGGAGGCTGACTTCAGTAACAGGGAGAAAAGAGAGAGATGTCCTCCGACCTTGTGTAGTCTTGGCTGTCCTGGACTCAATTTGTAGAAGTGACAGAGATCCACCTGCCTCTGCCTCCCAGAGTGCTGGGATTACAGGCGTGCCCCACTGCACCTGGCTCTCTAAAGGGATTCGACTTGTGGTTTGGTTTGGTTTTGGTTTTTTGAAACAGGGTTTCCCTGTGTAGCCCTGGCTGTCCTGGACCAGTACTTTGTAGAGCAGGCTGACCTTGAACTCACAGAGATCTACCTGCTTCTGCCACCCCAGTGTAGAAGAAATATTTTTAAAATTAGTATGAACAAGACCCAAGGTTCAATCAATTATTGATCAGTGCTTGAGGGCCCCTCCCCCCAGCACTTAGGGAGGCACACACAACCAATGATACCACAAAAATGGACAATCATTATGTCAAGAGAACTAAAGCCAAAAATGATGGTAGGAGTTGGGAGTTACATCTGGAGAAACGAGAAAATTTATTTTTGTTTATCCATTTGTTTGTCTTTCAGAGCTGTTCATTAAAAAGAACAAAAACCCAGTCTTCAGTAACTTTAAGTTATTTTAAAATTTTGTATAAAATCCTGAATAAATGAAAATACTCTGCTTTCAGATGGCAAGCCTCTTTACAAATCTGAGTCTTGATATTTGTGTGAAGTCAGGTCTGCAGGTGTCTGCAGGTTTCTTCCATCAGGAAGAAGCTGAATCAGAGGAGGGTCACATGACAGTACACGTGGCTTCCAAGAATGAGCACGGGCCGTGTAGGCCCGGCTGCATAAATTTGCCTTTAACAACAATCACAGCAGCAGAGCTGATAGCAGAGCGAATCCAGACACACCCAGACACGGGGCACGGAGACCACAGGGTCAGAGGTAGCCATCTGTCAGCCCTATCCGCTGGCTGAGATTGCCCTCGGTGGTACCTCTCTCTGAGTAGGAATCCTACTCCTTGCAGGAACCAGAACTGTTTGTCCCTATCTTCTCAGGCCTGGGATGGACCGTCTGGTTCCAAGATGCTGGGAGACTGCAGGGGAGTGACTGTAGTCATGTTGTAGAGCTATCCAGGGAATACAGGTGGGCAGCCCCTGCACCTCCCCACCCCCAGGACTCAAAGACTCCTTCCTTCCTCTTCTAGGGCCTGGCAGCCTCTTGACCTTTGCTTGCCTGAGGTTTCTGCTAGTGCGGGCCCCAGCAGCTGCAGAAAGGCTGGGATATAGCTCTGAATGCCACTGGCTGGCAGGGAGAAGCCAGGAGACTCATTCCCAGCTTTAAACAAAGGCCTATTGATCTTTGACCCCTGCCCCTCCCAAGAGCCTTGGCCCTCTTCCCACTCCTTTCTTCCTTGTGGGCCTCTCCCTCCACTCTCTGTCCCCTCACTTACCTCAGTGCTCCTGCCCCGACTGGCAGTTTCCCCATCAGCTCCTTGTCCAGTCCAAGCTTCCCATGCTGTCTCCGAGCCCTGCCTCCTGTCCATCTCCCAACCCTGACGCAGACACCCCAGACAAGAAGGTCCGCTGGGCTTCTGAGAGGAGAAGAAGGACATCATCCACGGACTCAGAGTCAAAGGCTCACGTGGATGTTTCTAAGTTGCCCCGGTCCCGGAGACCCAGCCGGCTGACGGTGAAATACGACCGGGGTCATCTGCAGCGCTGGCTGGAGATGGAGCAGTGGGTAGATGCTCAGCTTCAGGAACTCTTCCAGGTGGGTTGCTGGAGGGAGGCTGCTGGAGACTGTGGGCCTGCGGTTCGGTCAGGAGATACAGAGAACTTACTTAGAGTTGCTGGAGGGCTGATGTGAGATGCTCTCGTGGAGCAAGCTCCTCCTTCAGATGGAAGAAAAGTCTCCACTATGCCTTAACCCCTTTGTGCTACGGAAAAGACAAATTGCCTCGGCCCAGTTTCTGAGCTATATCCATGCCTGATAGAGCTCTTTGCTAAGACTTTCTGAGATTTAAATGACAGTTGAAGAGTCGGTGCTTGGCCTGACTGTGTTGCTTTGTTTTGTGTCTCTTCAGTGCACACCCATTCATAAAGCCACATTGTCCAGTGCTGTCCCTGTCAGTACTGTGGCTGTTTATTAGCTTTAAAGGAAGTAAGGAGAATGAAATTTAAAAGTTAGGTCCTAGCTGGCGGTGGTGGCGCATGCCTTTTAATCCCAGCACTTGGGAAGCAGAGAAAGTCTGATCTGTGTAAGTTCAAGGCCAGCCTGGTCGAAAGAGTGAGTTCTAGGACAGCCAAGGCTACACAGAGAAACCCCATCTCAAAAAAACTAGAAACAAACAAACAAAAATTAGGTCCCAAGTCTCATAGGTATGGTTAAAGTGCCAACTGTCTTGTGGACCACATTGCCAGTACAGACGTGGACCAGCTCTACTATCCCAGAATGGGCAATGCAGAACTAGACAGAACAGCCAAGGGAAAGCACTGACACCTTGACCTCAAACTGGCTCTGACTGTGTAGCCCTGCCTGCCTTTCTTCAGCCTCAGTCTAGGAAAGGACGGTTCTTGGCCCTGGTCACAGGAAGGACCAGTGTCTTAGGGAGATTCCGTCAGCTCTCATCCCAGAGCAGCAGCAACTGCTCCGGCAATAAGATTCTGACTCTTCACAGTGTCTTAGCCACGATGCAAGCCTGGGCACTCGATATTTGATTTAACCCTCCCCACTACCCCGTGAGGTAGGTGCTGTCTTACAGCTGAGAGAATGGAAATCTAGGGCTGGGGATGGGGCTCAGTTGGTAGCGTGTTTACACGAAGCCCTGGCTTTGATCCCAAACACCGGCACTGCATACATGGTTCATGGCGGCACGTTCCTACGGGAGGCAGAAGCTGGGGCGTCAAAAGGTTCAGTCATCCTCAGCCACCTAGGGAAGTCAAGGCCAGCTGGGATGCGCAAGTGACTTGTTCAAAGCTGTGCAATGCAGCTGTGGTTGGACCCTGGATGGAGAGTCTGGATACTTACACTTGAACAGCCAATGAGAATTTAAATGTACCAAAGCGGGCTCAAGCCCTGGACAGTTACAAGCCCTGTGGTCGGGTTCCAAAGACGAACCCACAGGACCAGGAGTTCTCATTGTTCCTAAGAGTGTTTGTCACCTACCTGTCTTCCTTCCTTCCTTCCTTCCTTCCTTCCTTCCTTCCTTCCTTCCTTCCTTCCT